TATCGCCTTTAGTTAAAAGTTCTGGAACTAAACTTTCAATGCGGAATCATTGTCTCAAAATTATGTGAAGATCCAATATTGGATTCACAAAGCATCTTACACTCCGATAATCCTATATAGGAGAGGCCTTGCGTGGGATCTTGCAGTCAGTTGCCCACTATTACTCTGTTCAATCAACACAACATAGAATGAGGTACTGACAGAAGTAAATGGCCTTTAATAAAAGTAGTTCGATCTAGTTCTTTCCAAAGTTCCCTTTCAGCTTCTAAGATTCCTGTGGTAAATGACAGTAAAATATTGACCTTTTGTCTAAAACGCTACTTAGGAAAAACTCTCCCAACAAATGATAATATTAAAATAAAAATGTAGACCTATCAATTTCAAATTAAGCAACAGACCCAACAGAATGTGAGTACATCAAATCCCTAGCTGTTGAATATTTATTTTAAAATGTCACAGGCGACTCTTTTTGTACGTTTTTCCAAGTCATAATGTCCTAGTGAGTCTATTATTTAGATTACTCAACCCGCGAAACGTGTTTACTGAGCACCATTTCGCCACCAGATGTCACTGCCATGTTATATTTCAAACCTTTCGAAAGCTCGCATCATTTTCTGAATTGTTTCATCGATCATTCAAAAGCCTCATTTCCACAATCATAACTCATTCCTACGCCTGCTACACTTCACACCACAACAACCCTGTCCACCCGCCCTCCAAAGGAAAGTTGAGATCCTTAAATACTGGACACCCTTCCCAGAACATTCCACTTTCCAACGATCATATTACAATACAGTTTCGTTGTCTCCCATAAGCAATACTAATGTAATATAAATGTAAAATATATAATTCCAATACTCTTAAAATTACAAACTGTACTAGAGGAAAGGTAGCAATATCTCTAATTGGCCAAATCCTAAAATCCAATTACATCTCCCTGGTCATTGACGCCGCCACTTGTGATCAGGCGCTACATAGCCAGCCCCAAAGCGGGCTGTTTAGGTCCTCCGACACGGAACCGAAGGCAAAACTCAGATCTGCGTACATATGTTAGAAGATTTTTTATTTTAATAAGTAACTTATTCTGATACTAGCGATTTCTGAAAAGACTAGACCTAACATTTTAATGGTAAATAATAGTTTAATTATAATAAAAAATATATAGATTTTTTGTTGCCCGATACCGTCTAGCGTATTGGAATGTTGTCACTAATTCCAAATATAGTAAACTACATAGATTTGCCTATATAGGGAATATTGATTGAGTTCCAAATTTTATATTCTATGAAATGTTATTTATATCTGTTTCCCAAGATGTTCCTTAGTAACATTTATTCAGATGAGGTGTCATCAGTGCCAGATGACTCCAGTGACAGTGATAAATAGTTTGGTATTATATAAATATACTGCCTTCTGCACTCTTCCTATATCAAGACAAACGTGATTTCAGAACTGAGCACGTTTTTTCGTGTAACAGAAGCTTGGGAGGTGGTATACCTGAACCTGACTGGTCCTTTACATATAACAGTAATTAAATGAAAGAACAATTACGTGTTGACTATGACAGACCAATACAAACTATACAGAATGTGTTTTTCTTTCGTCTAAAAAAATGAAAGTGTCTTGCCTGTGCATGTGGGGGGGGGGCGGTTGGATGTTATCGCTTATCCAGATATTTTTTTCATTAAAATATCATATATTACGCATATTACTTTTTTATATCGTCCAGCCCTACGATCAGTTCTAATTGTTGTTGTTTTAACACTCAATAATAATTACAGTTATTTATATTTTTTTCTATTTGTAATGTGTGTGAGCTGATCATTTGTATGTTCAGTCACAATATCGAATTACTCGTGAGAAAAGTATTATGGGATATGGTCGCTATATCGCTTGTTGTACAATAACAAATGTCATCCCGAAATCGCAGCTAGTTCAATGTGAGCAAAGCAAAACAAAACGTTTAGCTCAAAAACGGAGAGGAAATTGGAAGTTAGAGCATTGGCTCTAAATACAAAGCACAAGAGTAAGACGACTGAACTTAAATACTGCGCTCAATAATTTTGTTGAGTGCAAGGCTCGGACGATGCACTTTAGTAAGTATTATATGATGTTGAATTAGCTTCTAAACCCATACACATAAAAACCATGCGCCTGCATGAGCGTACGCAAACGGCATCCGCGAGCGATAAAGCACCCTCGCGAGGACATACTTATGCTCCGCGCGCACAAATGCGGTCTCGCGAGCACGAGGCTGTGGCCACCTCTCTGCGCCTGCGCTTCTGCGAAACACTCGCTTGCTCCTCAAGTTGAATTTTGACTCTTTGGGGGCGGGGATAGTGGCTGATGTCTCCACTCCTTTGGTTGGTCAATACCCACAGTCTCCACCCTCTGACCCCATATTTGGCAGAATCATCAGTATGTCAGAGACTGAAGGGTTAAAGACCTATGTGAATTTGCCCCCCCATATTTTTCTGATTTTACTCAAACCGGCCTCAATCGTTTCTGGCGGTTTCCGCAGTTTAAATTTTTGTTTCTGCTGTTTAAATTTTCCTTTCTGCTGCTTTAGTTTTTGAGATGTTCGTCGACATGGTGACACTGACATGAAATGCTTGTTGACATGGTGACGTAATCACGGTGATGTTGCCTAGGGTGACCAGATAATCCATGTCAGGGAGGACACTTTGAGCTACTTCAGGTTTTACAAACTACTTTCAAATTGAAAGGCTCCTGTGCTCAGCTAATTAGTTCAGCTCTTCTTGTGCTTTGATTGGTTTATTTCCTTGACTGAAAGACTCATCCAGCTGTTTCACATTAGCATTAGTGACACATGCATGATTATAGGAGACTGACCAATCAGCACACAGCAAGAGCTCAGTGCTCAAGTGAAATCCAGGTCCGTTTAATTGAAATGGTAATTTACAATTCCTGTCCTAGCTCAGAGTGTCCTCCCTGACATGGATTATCTGGTCACCCTAATGTTGCCCCCTCTCATTTGTGTCCAAATTCAGCCAAACTGGTGTCAACGATTTGTGCTGCCCTTGTGCAGATTTCTGCTGCGGAAATTTTAGTTTGTGCTGCTTTACTTTCTGAGACATAAATGTTAGCTTACATGGTCAGGTGACACCACGCCCCTTCATTCATGACTCTCTGCCACCGCTGCACGTCTGGATGATGCCTTGAGCCAACACCATCAAAGCTGGGGTGCCATTTTAAACCCATGGAACTGTGACATCATGCATGCAGCATATAATCTGCCGACTTACAGTGATATACATGGACATCTGGCTCTTTGATGGACCTCGACCACAGTTTACATCACACATTTGTTAAAGCATAATGATTTTCTTTGTATTATGTACTGTGAACATGTTCAGGGCAGCCAGTCAAACCTGGACCCCCAGAGATTTTTTTCTTTATAGGGAGTTTTTGGTTCCTCACCTCTGCTGTCTTCTGGCATTCTTTCCTTCTTCCCCCTTTTCCCTGTATCATAAACTATTCAGTGTACTTGCACTAACAATGGATTGCCACACACTCTTGTCAAGTGCCTTGGGCAACTGCGTTGTGTAAGGCCCTACATAAAAATTTAATTTAATTTACCATTACCATTTTACCATTGTACCAATGTTATGTGTAACAATGTATTGGCACCAGAACACTCCTAATCACACTCTTGCCCAGATCTGCTTGCACATGAAGACATGTTGTACATTGAAATGACCTGATTGCCCCCCCGTTTTCCCCCACCGTCTACACATCTTTTCTTTGTGTTTATTGTGTGTGGGTGTGACCCGTGGCAAAGGCGTCTGAGGAACATGCATACGGGGGCCCACATCTTTTTGCTTCGCCCCTGCCTGTGGCAGACTGGCGTCCTTTGCAGGCTGTACGTTTCCTCCCTGTCCCGTGATTCCTGAAGACTGCCACAACCCTAATTACACCAATGGCAGTTATATGGGCTGTGCCACTCTTTTATATATTTATTTACAAAGAAAGTATTTTCAAATTATTTGCATGCATTTACAATAGGAAATTCCTGCATCTTCCTGTATCAAAAAAGGGACGGGACTGGGTCAGTAGTAAAGCCCTTTTTTCTGAAATACCTCGTGATGTATTCTGTAATACCTTGTCGCACCGGATTCCCCTGTATGTCACAGATATTTATTTAATTGAATTACATTTTCTTAAATTGCCCATAATGTATGAATGTGTTTGCCTCGTCATGGACTGCTATGCAGCCCAGAATGTACCTGTGTGCCCAGTGCATCCTGGGATTGGATCCAGGCCTCCTCTTGACCCTGTACACTTCTGTTTAAATTGCTATTGTCTTTCTGTTTATATAATTTATCCAACACTTTTTTTGTGAGTGATAAAATCCATCCATCCATTGTCTGTACCCACTTATCCTATGCTGGGTTGCAGGGGATCTGAGCTTGTGGGTGAAAAGCAAGGAGCAACCAAGGATGGGGCACCAGCCCATCGCAGGGCACGCTCACATCTACTAGCAATTTGGTAACTCCAGTTAATCTCAGCATGTTTTTGGACCATGGGGGGGGAAAGTGGAGTACCCGAAGGACACCCCATGATGACGTAGGGAAATATTTAACCCTCTACACATATAGCCATGGCAGAGACTTGAACGCTGGTTTTATAGATGTGAGGCAACTGTGCAAACCTCTGCTCCACTGTGCAAAAATAAGCGGATGTAAATCTTTGCATTTATAATAAGTAGATTTTTCAGCCCTGATTTCATTTTGTATTATTTTTAGTGGATATATAAAGGTTTTGCTATTTCATATTGCTCTGTAGAGGTAATAGATGATGGTGGTATGGCGTGTAACATTCCTTACTGTCACATTAACTGGAATTTATTGCCTACAATCATAAATGTTATTGCCGTGCATGTTGCTATGGTCTCTTCAAATAAGATATATTTACTCTATGCATAAAATTGTGCCACTACAATCTGACGGTATTACAATGAATCCTGTTACCATACGCTGTCTCATTTAAAATTTTCTTTATTTGGGGACTTGCATCATTTTTGGAAAAAAAAAATGTTTTCACAGTAAGACGGCATAAACGTTAATAAGCTGTGTCTGTGATTTAAAAGCTTAGCTGGCATTACTAGTTAATGGAATAGTATACAGAATGCACATAAGCATATTTTTCAAAATACAGCTCATCCATTCATCAAGAAAAACAGATTGCAGTTTCACAGATTTAATTATGGAATGAAGCATTATATCTTTGTTTATCAGACATACAAGCAATGTTTAAGATTTTAAAAATAGTTTTATATTTGCTTTTAAGAGCTTTTAAAGCTACGTATGCCTGTCTGTCTGTCATATGGCCTATCCCCTCCTCACTGGAAAACGCCTGAGGATGCCCAATATCTTATTTATCTTGGGTGGGTTGACACTCCAGTGACATTTTTAACAATATAGCATCTAAAACAATATAATCAAAGCTCCCAGGAAGAAATTAATATGCAAGACAATTAGAACAAAGATGGCAGTATACAATTGCATTACATTTGTTGAATTGGAGCTTTGATATTCTCTCTGAATCCAAAACTCAATACTGGAAATGTAGACTTAGGTTGTTATTGTACGATTAATTAAAATTATTGATACGCTCTTCTATTTTGTTGACCTATATTTTCCAAAGTGGCAGAAATCATTGACCTGAAGCATTGTTTAATAAAAAAAAAAGCATTAAAAGTAAGGCTAGAAAAGAAAGGTTATTACAACAAGTCAGCACTCTCTTCATAGGTAAGTTACAGCAGGCTCAGTCTTCGGTTCTGTGTGCTGTTGGTCTTGCTGTTGATCGTTAGAGTCTTCAGTGGGGCTGCACCAAGGTAAATAACTGTGTTTAAAAGAGCTAATTTGATTTTTTTTTAATTTTGTTTAGCAAAAATAAGCCCTCAGAACAGGTAGCAGGGACAAAAAAGGCATTCTGAATATACAATTGGTAGATAAAACATGATCAAAGCTGACAAAGCTTACATAAGAATGAACTACATTGTACTACATACAAAATCTGATTAACCATGTGCACAGCAACATGAGCATGTGTACAGTAATACAAAATGGTGCTCGTTTGTTAAATGAAAGAGGGAAACGTATGAAAAATGTGTGCATGAGGAGAATGATAGATGGAGGATGTTAACAGGAAGAAAGATACTGAGGTGCTGGAAGCTATGGATGAGAAAAAGAAAAAAGAAAAAAATGACCACATCATTCCACTGCAAGACCTCAGGTTGGGATCACAGCCTCCATACAGATCCTAGTCTTCTGCTAGAGAGACTCTTTTTTCCTCCTCTTCCTCATCTTGTTCTTCTTGTTCTTTCTCTTCATCTAATTGGTGCAGAGCGGAGGAAAGGCGTGGTAGGGAATCTTCCTGGGGCAAAGTGGCAGACAGGGTATACTCATGGTCTTCATCCTCTGCCAAGGACTGCTCAGCATCTATGTGAGTGGAGGAGTTAGTGAGGGCATCCTGCAGGGCTGGGGCCAGGTCAGAGTGCACCTCAGTGAAAGGGAGATTTTCATCTAGGCTTTTAATGGGAGCCAACTCAATTGCAGCCACCACTGCCGGTGGGCCCTCAGCCTTCGGAGTCACCTGGGCGTCCTGAGTTTTCTTGATACCGAATGAGAGTGTCGGCACCTTGAAGGAGGAGCTCTTGGTGCTGGGGTTGCTCTGCTTGAGTTTCTCACGCTTCTCAACAGCCACACTGGTACTGATCTTGGTGCTGATTTTATTCATCTTCTTTTCAATGTTCTGACGAGAGAAGGCCTTCTTGAGGCTGTCAACCTTCTTCAGGCTGGAACGCTTGATCTTTTCAGCCCGGGATTTCTGCATTGTCTCATCCACCTTCTCTCCAGTCCAGCTGTCATCGTCGTCCTCATCAAGCCCCAGTTCTTCATCAGATGATAAGTTTATTGTCTGAAGCCCCTCTTCCTGTGAACGATTGGCATCCACTGGGGGCACCTCTTCCTCTGCATCACGAGGGTAGGGCACAGGGTCCTTCACGAAGGCAGTAGCAGGAATTTCATTCTCCTCCTAAAGCAATATATAAAACAAACAAACAAAAAGTTTAAAGCTAATGATCTTATTATTCTTCCAGCAAACAGCATTTGGTATTTAGCTTACTTGACACAATTCATGTTAACTGTAATAGGGCTTATTTTTCATTCCAAATCATATATTAACTATGAAAGTCATAGAGACAGCTGTGGTCATGGATGGCTCAGTGGGTGAAAGTGATATGCTAGTTTTCTCCCACCGTCTCAGGGTGAACCGCAGCCTGGTACCCTGTGCTGGCTGGGACAGACTCTAGCCCACCAGCCCCCACCACAACCCCCCACCCCACCCCACCGCCCAAGACTCTCACATGAGGTTAAGTATGTTAAAGACGGATGGATACATAATATAGTTGTCTCAGGAAGGACTATTAAGTGGCAAGGATAATTCTTATTAAACTGGTGTTTTCTGTTTGTTTGTTTGTTTGTGTTTGTTTGTTATACTTTCAAATTTATTTTGGAACATCCATGCATCTTGGACATCTGCCTAACTACTCATGTTTACATCTTTATCACAGAATTCTTATATTCATCAAACAGCGTAAAATTGCTAATAATGTGCTTTATTTTAATATAGGCCTAGTTAAAGATACTCTTTCTATCCATGGGGGTTTGCACAAAAAAATGTGTCGAGTTCAATCAAATTTGCAAAAATATGAAATGTGTCATCTAAGGTTTGTGTACAAGGGTTTCTGCATTGATCTCCAAGGCAAATTAAGAGAATGTGATTTATGCTGTTGGAATGCATGGAATGGAGCTAGGCCTTACAGTCCACAATCACACAAAGGCGATTCCTCTCTTGTCGTGGAAACAACGGTGATGTAAATGGAAAAGTCAGGAAAAGACGAAGAACAATCGGATGAAGCAGCACTCAGAATTTCCATAGGTGTTTGGGGGGGGGGTAATTAGTTGTTTACTAAGCTCATTCTTTCTGTCACATCCCTTTCCCCCATTTTAATCTTACTTTGGTTTTGAAACCCTCACTACTTTTTCAATCGTGGTAAGCCGAAATGATCAAAGTAAAGGTTTGATCCTTGGAAAAGGAAAAATTGCATAGTTATGAAAAATGTTATTTGTGCAAAACCAGGAGGAATCTTAACCAACAATAGTCTCGCAAAACTCGCAATGTTTAAATAAAGCATTTCCTACTTTCTTTATTACGACTTTGAGATTTATATTAACATCGCTGATCTGTTATAAGGTACAGGACATGCATGAATGGCATTTTTTAAATAATAATAATAATAATAAGGAAATAATAGATGTATTGTTCGTGGTTCCAGAATCCCATCATCATCATCCTTCGTAATTTTTACACAAACACTTTCTCATTCTAATAAATATTATCTCACACTAGAGCAGTCCATTCCCATCTCCCTTGAAATTGTACATACAGTAGCTCCTGGGGATGATTATAGATATATTTTCACCGATGTTCCAGTGTCTACATTCACATCTGTGTCGGTTCTCCAGCCCATAGTCTCATTTTTGGGGTTATTCCATGACTCTCAAAGTTTATTTATATTTTAAGAGGCATCTGTCTCTATGGCTGCACTGTAATTTCACAGTCATTATTTAGTATTTTGGATTGTGATTCATACACCAACTGGAAACTTGTCCTACCCTTGTCCCACATTCACAATGTCAAATGAATTGGGAATTAGCCAGCAGATAACTACAGTAATGTAGATTCTTTATGGCAGGGAGCACACATATGCAGTCCATAAAATGCTCTGTTTGCATGGAAGATAAGGCACAACGGCAGTATTACACAGGCGTCTGTTATGTATTGTGTGTGATGTAATATTAACGTAAAGCAGATGAAATTTTAATGCAAAACACTAACAGAAGCGTAATTATCTGCATTTATAAGGAGTTTTTCCATAAAAATTCCAGCCGTACTTAAAAGAGTAATTTACCACATTCCACATTCAAAATTTGGATTGCCCAACTAAGGGACAGTCCCCAAACAGGGGACATACCCTGAGAAATCTGTAGCTGGTGGTATCTTGTGAAGAATAAAGTGTTTTGAGACATTAATGACACATTCTGAGGGAGTAGAAATATGCTGTTGAAGATATAAACATCAGATACAAATGATTCCTTCATGTTGGTTTACAGATAATTTCCACTATGTGTAAACCTCATCTCCTTTGTTGCCATTCATCCACATGAATATTCATTCTGCATACTACTGAAAAAAAGGCACAAAGATCGAGAAATGTATAATTTTTTACTTGCAAATAAATTTCTGTTAGCGTGCAAGCTAGTCTCACAATACTTCTCATTCTGTTCACCGAGAATAAAGAAATCTTTATGCTTAAAGAATAAAGTTTAAATGACGTCCTTAAATCTAAGAAATACATTCATCTCCTAACCGCTTATCATGGTCAGGGTCACATGGTAGGGCCTGGAGCCTGTACCAGGCAGCACAGGGTACAAGACTGGGTACGCTCCTTATAATTTCCATATAAACCAAAGACTACTCTTTAAAATCTAAAATTACTTTTTAGAACTATTGTGGTTTTTAGATAAACTCCCATGACCTTGACCAGCATAAGTGGCTGGGAGATGGATGGATGGATTGATGGATGGATGGATGGATGGATGGATTTATTAATGGATACGTGCATGCATGCATTTAAATTGTTTGACCTGAAAAATCTTGCTGTGAGCATCAGACTTTAAGCTGAGCCTTACTGCTGAGAGATTGGTTGTAAATCTTACAGCTGGATAGTCTCAAAGAAGAATGACTCAATGGAACTCCAAATATGCCCAAATAAGTTCATCTACTGAAATAAGAAAGCTATGCAAGAAGCATTTTATCTCCCTACATATTGTCACACCCAATTCAGAAATTCCTGGGTCAGATACAAATCACTGGAGCAGACTGGTCTCCTCACTCGAGCATGAAGAGGGCCTCCCTGATGGTTGGCATCACTTACAGTTGGCAAGTGACCTGAAGTCAAGCTATTTCACCAATTTTACACCTTCACATAGGTGCTCAGTACTGCAATGTTTAGTGGGACTTCACATGTGAACGTAGCTCTATGTTGTTTTGCCATTCCAGCAAGTAGGCTCTTTGTGTGTGTGTGTGTGTGTCTGTATGGTCCAGGTATACATTGCATTGTGGGGACATTTGGTCCCACAATGTAATAAAAACCTGTTATTTTGATGGTCCCCACAAGGGGAATTTCAATTTCATAAAAATCTGTGACTACAATCAAGAAATTGTATTTTGTAGAAATGAATGGATGGTCCCCACAATGATATGAGTCCAGGTGTGTGTGTGCGTGTGTGTGTGTATGTACACAGACACACACACACACACAGACACCACTTATTTAGTGGTGGTATTGTACAAATGATTTATTAATTTGTCCATCCTCTTCCAAGTCTGATATCATACAACATCAGAGCAACATCGGTGACTTGTTTCAATGAGCTTTCACTGGCATTAAGTGAATCAAGTTCTAATAAGTATCATCAGATAATGGTTGGGATGTAAGGCAGCAATAAGACATAAAAAACACATTCTACCCAACAGACAAAATGCTTTCCCATCTTGCCCTCCATTCCTATCCTTCCTTTCTGTGACTCTCTGTCTTGAGTCTTACCTGGAAGATCAGAACTTTGAAGTTGTTCCTCTTGAGGAGATGGGAGTGATTAGCTTCTAGTTTCTTCACCTGTATGGCCTGCTTGTCCATTTTGTCCTTAACCTCCTTCATGTGGACGCTGACCTTACGGGACTTTTCCAGCAGCTTGCTGACAGTGTTGGAGGTGGAGGTGTGGCTCTTGGAGAGCTTGGTCATATCGGTTTGGATGCCACGCACAACACTCTCCATGTCCAGTTGCTGCTGTTCCATCTTCTGCTGATTTTCTTGGACGGTGTCCAGCATGTTGACGAGCTTGTCCAGTAGTGTCAGTACTGTAATAGCATTGACTTGGTTGTCCCCGTCGTTGTCCTTCTTTGCTGCCGTGGAGTCCCCTACTGAGACCCCCCCAGGCATTGTAGGTGACATCTGAGTGGGACTAGGGCCGGGCACCACAAGGTCCTGGCTTTCGTGTGGAGTCATCGCGCTGCTTCTCTCCGCCTGTACTGCATCTTCACCCATTCTGAACTACAAATGTTCTCAAACTTGCCAAATTCTTCAACTCAGATTGCCACTTTCTTTCTATGTTCCTCTTAAGTTAATTCTACAGGTTGAAGTTCAGATCTTCAGTTTACCAAGCTGAGGAAAAAAACTTCTTCTTTGCGCTTAGATTTGGTGTCCCCACCCTTTTTCACATGGAACGTTCATACTCTCTCTCTCTCTCCCCCTCTCCCCCTCTGACTCTTTCAGATATAGCCACACGGCGGTCTAAAGCATAGGAACATTCTGTCTACACAGCTTAGGAACCTCGCCCCATCTGATCTGGGAGGAGCTTGGTTACCATGGCAGCAGGCCCGGCCCAGCGCTGGGAAAATCGCTTCTCCGTTTGTATATGTGTGAAGCATAAACTTAACTCCTCCCTGAAGTCTGTAAAATTTGCTTTTTGTCTGTTTTTTGCTCTGAGGAAAGGAACAAAATATGAAGAGTCTTTAGGAGTAACGTCCTGGCATGAAATCACAAGGTGTGTGTATTTTTCTTTTAAAGTGCTGCATTTTAATTTTTACATTTTTTTATTGATTAATAGTTCTTCAAAGCACCAGCCGTGCTTTTTCTGTTTCTCTTCAATGCTGCACCAAATGGACCTCAGTAGAGGCAATGCTTTAGTGGTTGTGTAAGTGTACAAAGTCTGTCCAAACAGACCTACACTGCCTCTTTGTGTTTAGTATGTGCCTCACCTTCCTGTCGCACTTTTCCATGTATCCACTGGTTTAATAGGTCTGCCTTCCTGTGGGAGCTATTGTTTGAGGACCCTCTATGACGTCTTCTTTCCTGAGTAATGCTGAAAATGTGGAAACAGTGCCTCATGGGAATGTGGAGCCCCTACTCACATTCCAGTGCCATTACTTACCACTCCCTTCAACACTGTGAAAGATACTACACCTTAAAGTATAATTTTTGTAAAAGTCTAATTAGGAAAAAATGCAGAGTTTTACAGTTTTCAGAGGTATTCAAAATAAAGTTTTCCAAAATACTGAAGGTCGATTAGGCAATATGTGATGGAAATGCACCCTCTGCTGGGAAAAATCTGCAATAACATGTCCCATTAACAAAATATAATCCATACTGTATGTAAAAGTTGAAATATGAGGCACACAATTATAAAACGTTTTAAGTTACTAAAAAACTTACTAAATGTACATCCAGCATATCAAAGAAGATTATTTTATATTTTACAAGTCTACAAGTAATGTTAGTGTTTCCAGCAATATTAGCGGTGAATTTCATATACCTTGTTTCACAACGCACCATGCATTTTAGAAGGATTTACCGTGCAGATTTTTGTGCTTCGCTAATGGTCTGAGTTATGAATCTCTGTTCCATTTCAGCTCCCCAAATGGAAAGACATCAACAAGTTAAATCCTCTTCCTTCCATTGCTCAATTAAGTCAAAATATGTATCTTTTACCAACTAACTGAAATATGTTATCAGTATGCATAGTGTGCAGCCCTTCACTTTGCTGTTTGCATTCGCTGCTTCACAGTGCAAAATGAATTTACTCAGGAACTATTTCACACAGCTATAGTCAGAATAGGCAGTTGCTTAAGGTCCCATATGACTTGTGGAGGAACATTGTCTTTTTTTGGTAGGAGGGTCTCCCAGGTTAAACTTTTCCCAGGGGCCCAGAAAAGATAGCTATGGCCCTGACTATACATGACTGTGCACATATCATGGCAGCGAGACATGGGGCAGGCAGGAAGAGTGTCGATCCACTGGGCAGCTCCAAGACAAACCGGGTTCATTAACAAAACCGAAACCAAGACAGACACACACTAGGGAGATCAGAAAATAACGGCACCACAAGGGGTCGGATCTAAACTAGGGAAACACAACAAAGAGAACCATAAATAAACCTGCAACAGGAACCAGGCAACAGCACTTAGCAAACATGCATAGTAACACCACCCAGTAACATTAATAATGACAGACTAAAAGAAGTAAACAGGGGCAGGCACTTAAATACAATAGGCAATCAGGCTAACGAGAGGAGCAGGTGTGGAACAGACGATTAACAAAACAGAGCAGGCACTAGCAACAAGGCACAGGTGACATAACTAGTACCAAAACTAGGGAACATAACCACTATCTGGGAATACAATTCCAAGATAGTAAACACGTAACATAACGACAAGACAAAACGAGAATACAACACAATACAAGCAGGGCAGTCTTTCACAAGGAGACAATGAAAAACACAGGAGAACAGAAAGCCACTAATAAACAGATAAGGCTGGCCAGAGGTCAGTCTCAAACCCATAACCAAAGGGCTGCCAGTTTCTGAACCATATGCTCAAGCCACTGAGCTATGCATCAGTGCAGGGAGCAGTATAGACACACAAGGGTAACAGGGATCGAGTGAAAAGGTGGGATGGCCAGCGACACCTGCTGGCCAAACATAGGAGAGACTCGAAAGGGCAGGTTCACTTGGAGCTGACTCTGACAACACAAGCAAGTAGCAATAAGGACTTTAGAAAAAGGACCATCCCTAACTAACCAGTGTATTATTGGTATGGTTCTCTTTGTAGGTGTCTTATGAATTTCTAATTCCAACAGCTAGATCACCAGACCATAAGTGTTCAGTTCTATTGTTTTTTCCCCAATCAAGTCATTTTCCAATGCTGTTAACAAAAACAGAGGACTGTCAGAGACCCAGTGATCAAACAATTTTATCATTGGGAATGAGAAGGATAGCAAGGAAATAGGCGATTGCTATGGAGCGAAAAACTATTTTTATGGTTCGACTGCTTTGCCCTTCTGAGTCTGATGCAAATAACAAAACGACGAGAAACACGACAATGGTAAGTTGATTCTTTAACAAGAGAACAGATTTAGTGCTTAGGTTGATATTGGATTCCCTAATGTTATAAACTACAATTTGTATAAAAAAAAACGTGAAACACTTTCACAGAATATCTTGCGACGTCAGAGCATTTTCAGAGTGATAGCCATTGCTTATACAAAAGCTTGGAATGTAAATAAACACACATGGAACTTGTAGTATCAATCACGGCTTGGGAGACTGTCATGGCAGTGAAGCAAAGTGGAAGAGGTTTCTTAGTTACCCAAGACACAGAACAGTCTGTGTGAGGCTGCCGAATCTCACCAGCCGGGTTTGGGGCTGCAGAAAATGTGCTTTGTGACAGTAATTGGCCACCAGTCTGGACAAACACCGGGTAGCTAAGGGCAACCCATCCATCTGTTTATCCAGTAACGCAGGGATCGGAAACCTGCGGCTCTTTGACCACGTGGCTGCGGCTCTTCTCAGAACGATAGATGCATTCACATTTTCATGTCTTAACATATTATGATAATACTGAGGCGGGAGCGGTAAGAGGGGAAAGGCTTAAGGCCAATCACTGTAGCCTGACTGCGCTACCCTAGACCTAAATGCCCAGGGACACCTAAACTAAATTACCACTCAAGTGGAAACAGCCGTACCTTCACAGGTCCAAATACAGCACAAGAGACACATGAATTCCATTGAAAAAAAAGTTTATGGTTTCATGAGGGTGGGGGATCAATAAAAACGTCATGCAGCAAACCTACATGTGACTTGCAAGGTTAGAAAATTCACATGTTTACTGAAACTCAAAGGCAAGCTCAAAAAAAAGGTAAGCAACAATTAACGTGGAACAGAAAAAAAAATTATAATAATTTATACAAGTCTATAGTAAGAAAGGTGGCTCGCCTGTGACGCCCACAGCAAACGACACTTGAAATAACACCAAACGTGCAAGCACAACTCCCCAGTACCATGGTGCCTCTAGGGCCCCCTTCAGAGCGGCCCCCAGTCTACTAGAATAAACACAAAAAAAGGATTACAACCAAAAAAAAGAAAAACAGACCAACAACCGCGTGCTTGGGCGCCGCATCCTACCTAGGAAACTTATACAGGTACAGCAGTAATCAGTCTAGATCGACTCAAATTGCCTGCCAGCCCCTCCCCCCAGTTATATAGGAGGCTGGCCAGCAAGTGGGAAAGTACTTTCGTAAAGATAAATTATTTATTTATGGGTTAATATTGTTATGGCTCACCTAGATATTTCTTTAGCTAAATGCGAATGAGGCGGTCCGATGCACGTTTCTGTGATCTCTCAACTGCATCATTTACATCTTCCTCAAAGTCTCTTTCTCAACCACGTGTGTCTCCGGTCACCACGCCTTCCTAGGTCTGCGTAAAAATTATGATATTTAATCCGATTTACATATTATAGCCAGATGAGTGCGGGGTGGTGAGGACATTTTGCAAGCTCGGTCAGCGCAGTTACAGTAGCAGAGTGGAGATTGAAGGGCAGACAACTGCAGAGTCAAACGAGCTTTACTCAAGAAAGAAATAGTTTTTCTTGATGTTTTGTGACCAGATAATCCATGTCAGGGAGGACACTCTGAGCTAGGACAGGAATTGTAAATTACCATTTCAATTAAACGGACCTGGATTTCACTTGAGCACTGAGTTCTTGCTGTGTGCTGATTGGCCAGTCTCCTATAATCATGCATGTGTCACTAATGCTAATGAGAAACAGCTGAATGAGTCTTTCAGTCGAGGAAACAAACCAAAGCACAAGAAGAGGTGAACTATTTAGCAGGGAGCTATCTATTGTCTACAGGTTTCACAAGTGTCAAAGTGCATGCATGATATGTGTAGGTTGACATGTGTCTTTTGACCCCAAATTGAAGTTGAGGTGACGGAGTCTTTGGTTTTGGAGCAATACGATGCTATATGTTCCACCTCCATAGAAACCAAAGGAAATAAGGTATTTAAGTTAATTTAACAGTGTTACGATCCAGTCTAGGGTTGGACCTCCTAAACTTACGGCACAAATTCCTTACGGCACGTAACCCGAATTTACGGCACGTAACAAACAGATTATTTGCAGGTTTCACAAGTGTCAAAGTGCATGATATACATAGATTTACACATGCAGTTTGATTACAAGCTAAAAGACATTATTTTATAGTATTCCATTCGGGACTTTTATTTTGAAACGTCGCCGACCGTCAAAAGCGAAGCGAGCGTGTGAATTCTGAAGTGGGGCTGTGTATTTTGCGTTTCAAAATTTGTTGGCGATAGCAATTGAATAACCAAGGTGTTCATGTAATTTCACAAACATACTCGATTCTATGAATGTGGAGATTGCTAGATCTTGTTATGGTTTAATAGAGAAAATAGACGGAATGTCTGGCGAATATCGAACCCACTGCTGCACTGTTCAAAAATGTTGTTCAGTAAGGAACACAGAAAAGCCAGATTCCCCAGAATCAGAATCTTTTATTCGCCAAGTACAGAGAACTACAAGGAATTTCTTTTGGTGCAGGTGGCGTCATGACTTAAGCAAGTTAAACATAGAACTAAACATCTAAATGAAAAAATACAAAGGCAGCTGAATAAAGCAAAAAAACGTCTTTTTCAGAAGAAATATATATATATATAAAATGAAAAAATTAAAATGAAAAAGGTATGCAAACGTTGAGAAATAAAGACAAAATAAACAAGTGAATAAATGTAATGTGAAAACAGCTTGGGTATAATGCGAATTGCGAACGAGACTATAAGGGTATGAAACAGTGGGTGGTGAGATTATGAGACAGTTTCTCATGGGTCCTTATTTAAAAGGGCGATCGCTTGGGGAAAGAAGCTGTTTAGGTGACGGTTGGTACTTGTGCTCAGGGCTCTTACTCAATGCCTTCGCCGAGACGGAAGGCGCTGGAAAAGGGAATCAGAGAGTCTGTAAACGGACCCTCTTGATAATTTGATTCTGGATGTAGAATGGATGTAAATGTTCACTTGCAGTTTTAATAATGATATAACCATAAGTGAACAAACGTATAATGCAAAAAAGAAACATATTATTTTTATTATTATTTTGACCGGTTACATGTTGCGTAAAAATGTTTGTATTTCGCGTAACAAATATTTCACAACGCACCACTGCTTCCGGTCAGGGTCATGACTCTCTACCCAGTTCCGCTTCCCGAATGGAAAGATGTCAGATTGTATTCGCCGTTGGGAATTTACGGATAGGGGGATTTCTCCGCAATCTAGGATGTAGGCCTGAATACGTATCTGCGAGTTTTTTTTTTTAACCCATAAGCTGAAATATGATCACGCATTATATGCTGTCAGTATGTGTATTTCTTATACAGTGTCTGGTTGAAGGTAAGGTTTTTTATTTTTAAAAGCTTTTTTCGTGAACGTTTCCTTGAATATTTGCGTTGCGTTGTCGGTGAAATTGAGCACGCATGTCATCTGTTTTTTAATTAATTGATCAAGTTGCAGAGATCGGAAAAGTTTTCATCGTAATGATCGAGCTGACGTTTACCCAGTAATTAAGTCGTGTTGCTGTAGATATTTTGTATTTTTATTTTTGTGCACGCAGCTGTTTACGAACTGATTAAAATGAACTGTAATTTAAGAAAAGTCATAACTATGCAATAGCATAAGATTATAGAATAAAAAGGCATTATCATGAGAAAAACGTAGACGGAATCCCTGAAGTTTATAACCTGGCTGGTTTATGTCCTGATTTCGGGTACTTCATTGGAACCGTGCGCACTTGCAATTTTGGGTAGCCTACCACTTTACAATAAGGCTCCCTTTTGCCACTTAATTGTAAATGGTAGTAACTCATTAATAAAAAGAAAACTGTGTTATAACTTGTTTAAAATTGTCTATTAATAACTTACGAAGTGTTACAACCTAATTAGTAATCAGATTATAAACCATTCATAAACTCTTTATATGGGAAATCTTGTTGTAACGTGGCACCTAATTTTGCACAGGAAAACTGAGTAGCAAAATGTTTGTTTGTTTGTTTATTTATTTATTTATTTATTTATTTTTAAAGAAGAAAACCTCCCTCAACAAATTAATATATTGATTCAAATTTAGTTCAATACTGGCTATAAGTTTTGTTGAATAAATACTTAGCTGTGTCTTATTTCTGGGGAATTAATTTTCCGCAGCTCATCTATGCCACTAATACGGCGGACTTAGGTACATTAAAGTGATTGGTAATGCGTAAGCATGCAAGAATCAACAGTGAATAACGAATTCCGTTCTTTCCAATACTCCACACAAAACGGAATATTTTTAATTTGTGGCAACAAGTTTTTTGTAGTTGATCAAACTGGTTATGTGTACATGCAACAATATTGGCATCAACGCATTAAATATATGTATATACATGAAAAGTAAGCATAACGTATGATTTTGTTTAACAGTGTTTTGTAATAATGCATTATTTCTTACTATTGAATAGGTTTTTCCCTGCCAAGGTTGGAGAATGTAACAATTGATTCATATAATTTACATAATGTGATAAGTTGGAGTGCTCTACAGCCTTTGGACAATACAACATTAAAATACGTGGTTCAGTATAAACAGTAAGTATATTTTCATTCAGCCTGTGGCGCCGTGTAAATCCAGGCGAGCCCTGAATGATTGGTTTAGCTCAGATGTTATAACATCCATGCTGTCAGTTTGAGAATGCATACATCACAATAGTCCTAGTTCAGGGCTGCATTTCCAAAACATTCGTAATGCTATGATCATCGCGACTTTGAAGGGGGAGAATCCAATATGGCGGTCCTCGGACAGATTGGGACTCTGGGCTGAGCCCTTGATACCTTTAGATCAGGGGGTCTCCAACTCCAGTCCTGGAGAGCTACTGTCCAGTAGGTTTTCCACCCTACCTGCCTTCTGATGAGCCACATCTGTTCCTGGTATTTACCTGAGAACAGATGTGGTTCATCAGAAGCAAGGTAGGGTGGAAAATCTCACAGTTCTCCAGGACCGGATTCGGAGACCCCAGCTTTAGATCCTAGTAGTGCCCACGTTCTCATTATTTAAACTATAATAATATATTATAATAAGTAATTATTAGTGTCCAAGGTTTTCTAAATAAACTGTTATGCTAACTATACAATGCTAATGCTAACACCACCATGGGATTCTGATGAAATTGACTGATTCAGTGTCTGCTTCCTTTGCTTCTTTCAGCAGGGACACTGATGTTTGGAAGAATTATAAAGGCTGTGCTCCTACAGTGGACACCTATTGCAGTTTTCTTCCTCAGCATCCGTACGTTAACGTGACCCTGCGGGTCCAAGCTCAGGCTGGAAATCAGACTTCGCCGTGGTCTCAGACTCAGCCATTTATGGGACACGTTCAGAGTAAGACTCTCTATTAACCCCATGCCACCTACAATTTATCAGTCATGTGTCTCGTTTAAAATATACAGTTATTAAGCAGCCATCAAAGGGGACTGTAACATTTTGGCGTAAATTAAAAATGTATAACAAAAAATAGAGATTTTTCACAATCTTTTTAATACCGCTGGGTGATACACCCTAAAATATTTCTCAATTCTTATAGCTTAGATCATCCTTCCAACCATCATTTTCAGTAACTACCTGTCAGGCCTGTTCTGGTTTGCTTAGTGCCTATTCCGGGAAGCCGGTGACATGACTCATGTTTGATGTGCCTTGGCCGGTCACAATACTGCATTCTTTAAACCCTGGAGGCGTGCTCGCTTAGGGATAAGCGTCGTGGACGTGAATGCGTGCCCTTTGAAGAAATCCCATCCTGAGTGTCTGCTGCCATAGACTTCCGGCTTTACCATGACCCTGCACCGGACTCTGGTTATGGGATAATGCACTCACTGGTCATCCTTTTTTCAGGCGTACTTGTGCCTCATACTAATTATAGGTACGACCCTCTTTTGCCTGCAAGATTGTTTCAAGGGTAAATGAATTCAGGGAAGCCTTTCTGCACCCCAGTGTTGTACAAAGCTGCTGTTTCTGGGCTTTCTTGTTAATGTCGAGCATAGCTGCTCTCTTCTGACCTCGGAATTCTGGATCCACCATGACTGGCACCAAATCTCATCACATTAAAAATCACTTAAATTATAAAGCTGCTCCTATACTAATCTAGAGTTCTTGAGATAATGGGTGTAGATCAGGGTTATTCAACTCACGGTCCTCGAGGTCCGAGCACTGCTGGTTTTCCAGCCTTCCTTTACCTGTCAGTCAGGTGTGAAGCCTCTGACCAATCAGAATCAGTGATTATTAAACTAACTACCTGGGAGAACTGAAAACAAGGCCTGGATTTGGAATCGAGGGCCTGAGTTGAAGAACCCTGGTGTAGATGATGGATGTCTTATTAGCATGAAGATAATAGATAATGGATTATACTAATAGGCTTTTAAGCGCCTTGGTATTTGGCGTGTAATTTCAGGATGCCTTAAAATGGATCATTTAAGGGATGCAGACAATTTCGAAATATTTCTTGAAATGATTATTTTTCTTATATAGACTTTTAAGCCAGAAAAATTCAGCTTTGGTCATGGAATAGATGGAAGTCAGACTTTAAACTCTATGGCTGACAAACCAGTTAATTGTTTTCTATTTTTTCCTTTTCTACAAAGTAGGTAGAGTGTGGGTGTTTGAATATTCACAATAAATCCACAAAACACTCCACAAAGAGTACATGGATTACAGGTGTATTTCATGGAGATAAAAAATGAATCCTGGTCTAATTTACCTTGTCTGGTCATCATACATGCTGCACTGATCGTCCAGCTCTGCTGGTTCTACCAGGATGTTGTGACATGAGCATTCATGAAGTCATGCCAGGAGGAATTGCACAATTCAAGGATTTTTTTCCCCTCTCTATTAAAACTGGGGAATTAAAACATAAATACAGTCGCTTCACAAAACCGACTGTTAGTTGTGAACCGCTGTTGAGAGTTCATGGTTCCGTCTCGTTTTGGTACAGCAGAGAAAATGGAGTTTGTGTTACTAATTATACAAACACAAGAAGAGTTGTAAACTAAAGCAATATGTCTATCTATATATATAAACAAAACATGCTTACATGCATATTATAAACAAATATGTAAAATGAATCAAAAATATACCAGCCATAATGAACTAAATCCCGTCTAAATTCTTTGTTGTGTACTATTGAGTATGATTGCATATCTGTAGTGATAAACACCTCTATAGCTGTAATTATGTGTTTATTTCAGTTTGAATTTCTTGGAAAAAAATGCAGTGGGCAGACTAATTCACAGTCTTACACGCACGTGGATGATGTCGTTTCAAATGAGTTTGCATGTTTGCTTGTGTTTTAAGCAACATGTGCAAGTTTAGACAAGTGCAAGTAACAGACAGCCTTGGTCTTATACTCTCTCTCCCAGTGTTGATGTTATTTACTGGGAAACCACAGTGTTCGTAAAGCAGCGGTTATTAGTGACTGTAACCAACTCTCAGCCAGTTTCCATGTTGAACATCGATTTGTGAGTTTAGGTTCCACCCATGTCAAATGTATTTATTTGTTTCCTTGTGTGAACCAAAAGTGATGTATGGTGCAGTATATGGCAAATGTGTGTCCCATTACAGCCCTACTGCTCATTGTGTATGGACCACCCAGTAACAATGGTTTTAAGGAGACATATGACACTTAGACCAATTTATACTGAAACAAAAGCTCCCAATGAACAAGGCTTGGAAAAAGGTACATTAGGGTAAGTTTTGTATTGGTCATCTATGGAATGGAAATATTTATAATCTTTTCCTTGTCTTTTACTGCCTTAGGCCGACTGGGACATCCAAACGTAACACTCACTCCTGTGGACCTCCACTCTTTGCAAATTGAGATTGACCCTGATGCTAATCTCAGAAAATTGTACGGTGATGCACTCAAGTATAGAGTCCTCTATGGAAAAGAGCATGAAGCTTTTAGGGTAGGATTAATTGTATAATTCTTGTCATAATGAGTATTTTAAATCTTTTGCTGACTGAATATTGATTTCAATCAAATTCAAAGAAGAACTTTATAGTTTCCTATGTGTGTTTCTTTCCTGATTCGTCAGGAGTTAAGCATCTCTACATTTTGATTAGTTAATATTTTTGTCAAATTGTTATGAAAACATAAGAATGTTTAACAAGCATGATATGCCGCTCCCAGTTTAATATTTGAATTGGCTTATACAAACATCTAAATACGGGAACAGAAGCAGTAACATTCAGAATCTCTGGGAATTTCTGTTTGCAGGGTGATAATTTAACAGCTCATAAATTTTAATTAGTTGCTTCTGGGATCGGCTCCGGACACCCGTAACCCTGCAGGCGGGTATAGAAAATGGATGGATGGATGGAATCAATTGAAATTTAAAAATATGCCACAAAATACAACTGAGCATGACAGTCCTTTATTTGGCTGCCTGACCTTTGTTTTAGGAATTTTAGCAAGACGCACAAGATAGACACAAAGGGCTTCACATTAGGGACAGAGCGTGATGGGGTGCTGTTGTTCGATTTTTCATAGACTCAAAGGGACTTGCCTTCCTCAGTGATCATTAATTCCCTGGAGGCTGGGGTGAAGTACTGCTTTCAGGTGTACTACGTCATTTACCCCGATATGAGACTGGGCAACAATGCCAGCGAATCGTGTGTCACCACTGAAGAGTCAGGTAATAAGTTGCTTAGACTTTTTACTTGTTTTTAAACAATTACTCATAACATTTCAAATATGAAAGGACTTTGGCAAAGTGTTTTTTTTTTTTTTAATGCCCATGCAGTTTGCCTTCTCCTGTTGCTGTGCTTATAGCATCTTTACTAAAATAGATGTTTTCTTTCCTTCTGTCTTCAGAAAAGGAGAGCATGTTCCGAATTGCGTGCCTGTCAGTTATCGTTGTCGTCCTTTCGGGTGCATTTATATCGGGATGCATCTTTGTGACTATCCAAAACTACAGCAGAGTCAAAGACGCTCTGTGGCCTGACCTCAGTGCAGACCCGTGGATTCAGGAGGTATTATACTTAATTCCGTTTCATGTGACAAGAAATATACAGATAGCAGGGTTTTAGATATGTGTACCACTCTCTCCGGATGTTGCCTTTTCTGCATTATACTTTTATTATTTACTTACACCCTCAGTCTGATAAGCAGATTAGTTGTATGCCTAAAATATTAATGAGGGATGTATTGTGATTCCCAAAAGTTGGTAACCTAGTATTAAATTCAGTTAGCGGAGCATTCTGCTGTTTTGGTATATACCTTGGAAGCGATAAGCACTGAAGTGGCAGTGAAGAAAGGGACAGCGCAACAGCCACAACATCTTTTAAAAGGGGAGGTCTTGTGGATAAACAAGGTAAAAAGACATTGTGGTGTAGCAGTATTTTTTGAAGTTTTAAAAGTCCGTCATTTTTAATAGACATAAGGATATGCTGAATTTATATAGATTACTAGCTTTTGGGCTTCACAGTATGCCTTTCATTAATATTTTACGAGTACAGGCGGTCCTCGGGTTACGTCGTCTCGACATACGTTTCGGGTTTACAACGCTCACTCCCATAAAAAAATTAAAAAATTGAGACGTGAGTGTTTCGGCTTACACCGTTAGCGTCGTACTTATGGACTATGGGCGAATTTGTTTGGTTGCGCACAGCGGAAGAATACGCAGTAATGCGGCGTATGAGTCAGCGAATCGCCCAAATACCTACACCATTCTGGACTGTTAAAAGTGCAAGTGTTCCGTTTGTGAAGAGGAAAGCCATATTGATGGAAGTGGAATTAGACATTGTAGCGATCAGAAAAAGGTGTGTTTCGACCTGCACCAAAATTCGGGTTAGGTCACTGTCATAGGAACGGAACTGTGTCGTAACCCGAGAACCCCCTATACTACTAATCTGCTTACCAAATCGTGGGTGTAAGTACACGTCCATATAGTACTGAAAAGCCAGGGTCTGGACAGATTGGTACGCCCTATATATGAAGTCCTAAAATAGAAAATAACTCGGAATATTAACATTGCACTTATGTGTTCAATTGTTGCTCAGTGTTTTTGAACTAGTTTAACTAGTACAGTCTGTACAATATTATCGGAAATGACTGACTGGTAATAACTGTCATATAATTGTTTTGCAATTGCTACAGTAGCTGTTTACAGTAAAAACACTTGCAGTATATACATTACTAAGTTCCCTAAATATTTTGTATCCTTTGAAATATTTGATATATTTATAACTTTTTTTATATTTTATTTTCAGCATGACTTCCCCAAAATCCCTAATGATAGGTCCTACAACAACTACTCCGAGGAAACCTGGGACAGGGTCTCTCTGATCATAGAGAATGACAATTATCAAGGAGAGGAAAGTTAATTTGCACAGCCTGGAAACTACTGTAGTATAAAGCACGTCCAGTTTTAAGATTGCATAAAGTGAAGACTTCTGATGTGTTAAATGTTAGTGTGTTAGTTGAGTATTGTTTGGTAATGTTAGACCAAGTCAAGTCTTGTGGTTTACCTGTGAGACTCATGTTTGTTTGCCCATGTTGCCATCAATGGTTGTCATGCCAATCTCTACCCCAACAGACAGCTCCCCAGATAATTTTCTTTGTAGAAGTAGCTATATAAATAAGGTTGGAGACCCCCGTTTACAGCATTTGCCTGATGAATTGTTTTGTGCAATAACTAAATGTGACCAACTTGCAATAGTGACTCGATTTAAGAAGATGCCAAGTAAGCACTTTCCCTTGTGTAAGGGAGCCCCAAGACACTAAATGGTTTTTATGTTGAAGATATGAGCCAAGTTAAACAGTTATCTTTTGTTAAAGGGACAGTAAATCATTTTTTATCTGAATGCCAAATTCAATGCATTTAACATAATTCCATACTGGATATCATCCTGGTAAGAGTGGATTCCTAAATATTGATTACATAATTTATTTTTTTGGGTATGTGTGGTAAAGAATGTTGATTTAATTCTCATAACACTTTCACAGCATTGATCTACTGGTGGAATGCTGATGGTACGACTACCTGTTCTGATCAATTAAAAATGTTTAAAAAGTGATTTTTGGAGATGTGCACTTGATTCTTACCAAAGTGAAAAGAAAAATATTTAAATGGAGGTCATAATGGCTCAGTAGGTAGTCATTTGTAAATACTGTGCTATAGCAGAAATCATCATTGCTCACATCTGTCGGTTCTTCCACTAAACCACTATTTCAGTTTTTCAGCAACTTGCGGTCTTTCTGTAAACTCGACTGGAAGTTTAGAAGACAGCAGCTCCCACATTAAATGCATTGGTTAATCTGAAATCTTTAGCTTTTTGCATATAGTAATAGTCTAAAGTAGGGGTGTCAAACTCCGGAACCCTGTGTAGCTTAGCTCATTCCCTGTTCCCACACAAATGATTCAACTTAAGAGCTGTGTGATAATTAGCACAAGGAGTTGATCCAGGTGTGTTAAATGAGGGGAAACCCAAAAATGTGTAGGGCTCTGGCCTCCCAGGACTGGAGTCCAACGCCCCTGGTCTAAATGTAGATTGTTTACATGTAAAGATGCTTTGATAATACATCCAAAGATTCCTTTCATTGAAAGGTTTTAAAATATGTTTGTGAGTTTCAGGCTATGCTATTAACGTGAAAGCATGTAGGAGCAGGTATTCTTTAGCTATTTTACTATGGAAAAAATACAGAAGTAAAACCAAAGTTCAGTTTTATGTTTGGTCTAGGAAAGACCTAAAGGCTTGAATTTTTATTAGAAGGGACTCTGTCACAAACAATGAAAGGACAAGTTTTTTAGTAATAACAGTGAGATACAGCAGGAGAGAGGAGGTGATTCATACGGAGCAGTAAGTGTGGAGGAGGTGCTGCACCATTCCTTTGTTGCCACTAGCCTGGTAGATGAGAGACAGGTTATAAGCAATTTCCCGAGCCAAGTCCACTTGCTCACCGTCGATGCCCTAAAGACATGGATACGAGAGGAGAGAATTAATAAAAGAAAACTGCTCCAAAAATGACATCAACGTGCACACAGTCATATTCACTAAAGCAACACTATACTGGATATCTTCTACTGAAAAAAGTATGTGTGCCAAGTCAATTTTTATATTACTACTAAAATAACAGAAACTTACACATGACAGAAGGCCATCAAGCTCGTTTGGGGAGAACTTTAATAGCTCAGAGTTGTTAAAATGTTATCTAGCTCTGATAATTGAAAGATTGCTGGTTCGAATCCCCGACCAGCAAGGCACCACTGAGGTACCCTGAGCAAGGTACCGCCCCCAAGTACTGCTCCCCGGGCGCTGAATTAGCTGCCCCCTGCTATGTCACATTGTCACATATGGGTTAAATGCAGAGGACACATTTCGTTGTTGCGCACTGTGTGCTGTGGTGTGTTAACAATGACCACTATTCAACAAATTCTAATTTAAAGGAAACCAGGGTTTTAGCTTGCGCTACACTAGCAGGAAGACTATTCCATACTCTTAACTGCACGCTGTGTAAAGAAGTGCTTCCTCAAATTCACAGTGGTTGTCTGATTTGGCAAACTGGAGTGAGCAGCCAGTGAAATATCAGCACAACACAACTAAATCATGCAGGCCTGGTATGAAGCATTGTGCAAGTACCTCCAACGAGGGTGGCGTGCAACTCAAGGCCTTTTGGTAGTAAAGTATAGCCAGGTGAGATAAACCCAGCTGCTGCAGGGCCCGGCCCAGGTTGTAGAAGCTCTCCTGGCAGTGACCACGCAGCTCAGCATAGCGCCACAGGAAGGAGAAGCCCTGCACAAGGAGGAAATCAATGCATCAACATTTCTATCTCTATACATGTACTGGTATATCTATTAATAAGGAATGACAGTCATGGTAACATGACAAAATGCACCTTCTCCAAAATCAATACCTACAGCTTACAAGTAGCAGCCAAAAGCAGATTGAGGAACCATCTTGTGTGGTTGGTATTTCATTTCAGAAAACACTTAAATATGCTTTAAACCCAAACCATGCTTTGTCTTAAAGCAAAAAGACATTTTAAATGTAAATTTACTGATTAAGAAAAAACTCCTATAACAAAAGATTACCAAAGTTCACACACATTCTCTTCCTAACTCTGCTTGTCAAGGTTCTAATTTGATATATTTCACTCCAAGAAAAAAAGTCACAAGATGCTGTATAGATAACAGGACAAAAAGCTTTTAAAAACTACAAAGCCTTGGTCTAGAACAAAATACACAAACCTTTCATCACATGTACTATGTCCATAAGATAAACTATCACCAGGTATTTCTCAGAAACTTACATCTAATTAACACTAACTCTGACCAATATACTATTTATCCAACAGTCACTTATAATTAGGAGACGTGTGATCTTTAGCAGAAAAGTGCACCGCATAAATGATGTAGGTGGACAAACCTGTAGCAGAAGTGGGTGCCGCTTAACCACAAACTTCTGTGAAGCCATGTGAAAGAAGGTGAGTCCCACGCAAAGACTGTAAAGAGGTTCAGTAGGCTGAGCCCGAAACGTCTGTACATACTGTCCTAAAGGGGCAGACAGGGAATGGAAGACTTTTAAATTGGAAAGAATGGAGACATACTGGCCGAATGCAGAACTTGGTTATATTTCTACTCAGAAGAGGCCTAATGTTGCTTGTCAAAATATCAAGGGGTGTTTGTCAATATGCGTACTTGACCATACTTGTGTACTTATTTTAAGTAATTTTCCATTGTCAAAGACACTTTCCAAGTATAGAGGACGATAAAAATCCCCGTTCTTACACCCCCCGCCCCCCCCCCCAAGACTGATCTCATAACTCATTGTGCCCCAAGTCTGACCTTGGAAGGCAGGTTAGCAAGACCAGTCTTGTCAAGACCTCAAGTACAATCTTTGCGTTCTTGGTAAGAGAAACGCCAGATGTAATCTACAAGCACAACACAAGCCTTGAATAATCACAAAGGTTTGAGAAAAGGAAAACTGACCCACGATGCTTAAAGTGTCTGTGTGCTACTGCACTTTTTATGGAAGGGAAAATGTATCGGATATATAAATATCTGCATGAATCATACCAAGGGCGTGCTTGAAGCTCCCTGAGACGAAAGCGTTGTGGCCATTCAGTACGCACAGCGCGTGGTTCTCCGGGTTCTTTAACATGAGCCGCAAGCAGAAGCGGTGATGTCGTACATCCTGGGAGTGCATGGTCACCTGGTTGAAGATGTTCCACAGCTGGGGCCGTTCTACGTTATCCATCAGCATCAGTCTGCGAACAAGTCGGAATCAGTCTAAAAACTATGTTCACCAGCATAACTAGATGCGATTGGAAGGACAAGAATAAATCTGTCACACCCCCCCAACCCCAACCAATCCCTACTCCTTTCACATCCCTCCCCAATCTCAAGCCTCCCTACACACTCTCCCCGGTAGTTTCCTTTGTTGTCACTAAGCAGCAGGGCTTCAATTTTGCTGCGATTTGTCCTGAAATGCTACACAATATTACATAGTAAAGTTACATTATCCCCCCCCTAAACTTCCATTGTCTTTAAAATACAACTGTATTGTAAAATACAACTGTAACTGCTACAAAAACATGCCCTCCGCCCCGGGGCGCCTTGCCGACGTAGCCCTCCGCCCCGGAGCGCCTTGCCCGACGTAGCCCTCCGCCCCGGAGCGCCTTGCCCGACGTAGCCCT